AATCCCAGGACCCTGGGATCATGACCTGAGCCAAAGGCAGACGCTTAATGACTGAGCCACCCAGGCGCCCCAAAGCCAGCTATCTTCTAATCTTGATTTGAGTTTAGCACAAAAATAGTGACAATGACTTTTTTAAAACTTTTTAAAAATATAGAATAAATGTAGTCAGAAATAACAGGTGTTAAGGAAACTTACTTTGTACTATGTAAAAATAACTAGTTTTATTCATTGTAATAGTAGGTTGTTACTATTCCTAGTAATCAGACTAAGTTTCAGTGGATCACCTTTTATTTTAGTTTTTATCAAGGTAATATTAACTATAGTGAAATGCATAGTTATTATATATATAATGTGATGAGTCTTAAAAATCAAAATATAGAATATTTCCAATACTTGAGTAAGTACCTTTTTTTCCCCTTCCAGGCAATACCAACTTACTATAGCAAACTTCAATTTGATTTCATTGTAGTAGATTTTTTTTGCCTTTTAAAAATTTCATATAAATGGAATCGCCCAGGATGTACTCTTTAATGTCTTCTGGTAAATTAACCATTTTATCATTATGCAATGCCCTCCTTTTCTCTAGCAAGCCTTCTAGACTTGAAGTCAATTTTTTTCAGATATTCATTTTGTTTTGACCAATCTACTTTCAACCCACCTATGGTTTTATATTTAAACTCTATTTTTAATAGATAATGTATACTTCGTTCTTATTTTGTTATCCAGTATGACAATCTTTGTCTTTTAATGAAGTGTTTAGTCTGTTTACATATAATGTAATTTTTTGGCATTGGTGGATATAGGGCTACCATTTTGCCATTTGTTTTATTTTTGTCCTATCCATTTTCCATATTCCTATTCCTCCATTTCTTCCTTCTTTTTGTTTATTAACTTTTTATATTATTTAAATTTAATTGTTCTTTTGAACTTTTAACTATAGCCTTTTATATTACTATTTTAGTTGCTGATCTAGAGATTACAATCTATAGCATTCATTTATTAGAGTAGAATAAGATTTAATATTATAGTACTTCACATAAAATATAAGAACTTCAACATAATAGAATTCCGTCCCCCTTAGCCTTTGAGCTATAATAAATAATCATATATTTTGTAACTCAGTAAGCTATAAACCCTAAAATTCCTTATTATTTATGCTTTAGTCAGCCAAATATCTCTTAAGGAAGTTAAGGGAAGAAGAAATGCTATATTTCATACTTATCCACATATTTGCCATTTCTAGTGTTCATTTCTTCTCACATATTTGAGTCTCCATGGTGTCACTTTCCTTCAGTTTTAACTTCCCTTAGCATTTTCCATATTATAGATCCATTGGTTAATAGATCTAACTTCCATTTATCTGAAATTATCTTTATTTTTAGGGATATTTTTATTAAATATAGCATTCTGGATTCACAGATTTGTTCCCAGGACTTTAAGGGTGATACTCTATTGTTTTCACGTGTCCATCATTTCTAATGAGGATTCAGCTATCATTTGTATTTTTGTTCCTCTGTATAAAATATGTCTTTTCCCCCCTGTTTCCTTTCACAATTCTCTAGCTTTGATTTTTAGAAGTTTGACTGTGATATACTTAGATGTGATATTTTATGTGACTTTATTCTTTGGTGTTTGCTGGGCTTTTTAAGTATCTAAGCTGGTAGGTTTTTTTGTTTTTTGGGTTTTTTTTTTTTCGAGAAATTTGAGAAAATTTTGACCATGGTTTCTTCAAATTTTTTCAAATATTTTCTCTGCAATTTTCTCCATCCTATTCTTCTGGGACTGTGATTACTCATATGTTATATGGCTTAATACTATCCTGAAGGTCAGTGAAGCTCTATTTTTATATCAGTCTTTTTTCTCTTTGTTTTAGATTGGATAATTTCTATTTTTTTGTTATAAATTTACTGACTGTTCCTTCTGTCATGTTATCTGCTGTTAAACCTATTCAATGAGTTTTTCACTTCAAATACTGGAAATTTTTACTCTAAAATTTCCATTTAATTCTATTTATAGAGATTTACCATCTTTTTTTTTTTTTTTTTTTTTTTTTTTACTTCAAACATATTTAAAATAGATACTTTCCAGTCCTTGTCTGCTAATTATTCCATCTGGATTGTTTTTGAGTCATTTCTATTCACTACTTTTTCTCTTGATTAAAAGTCACATTTTCTTGTCTTTCTTCATGATATCTAATATTTTTATGGTTTATTGGATACTATGGATGATATATGGCATAGATCATATGTTCTGTTAGCTTTCTCTGAAGACTGTTCTAGCAGTTTGCAAATTTCTGGCCTATCACCTTGCACTTAAGAAAGCTTCACTTTACTCTGGTTAGGTGGGTCTATTCCAGATTTACCCTTAGTTCTAGGGTGAGTCTCTTAATCTTGAGACATTGTTTTTACTCCTAATCATGGCCCTTTTGGGCTTTCAATGAAAAGCCTGAATTTTTTTTTTATCAATCCTTCCTAACTTGGAAGGACACAGATTTTAAACACTGCTACCCACAGAAAGCAACATTTGAAATCTCTGCCCAGATCTTGCGACTTTCAAGCTGTAACTCATTATCTCTTTAGTCTCTTCTGTATTTCAAAGACCAGCCAAGGATTTGAGGGGAGTTTATATGCTGATTCACTCCCTCCTTTCTAGGTATTTCTTTCTGAATTTACAACCACTCTGGCAGCCCTAAAAGTTGTCCTCTGACATCTGAGGCCTATCAGATTGTGTCTTTATGCCTGAGTTGTAGTTAGCCTAAGCTGCAGAGACTACAAAGTGCCCTAAGGGGAAATGCAAAGGAAAAATAAATCTCACACAACACATTTCCCTTCTTTCACAGATTGAAATCTTTCCAGTGTCCGCCTGCTTTTGGTCACTATCTATTGCTTTCAAATAGTTATTTTTTTCTATTTTTGTCCAGACCCTTTATAGTAATCTGCGGGGAAGGTTAGTTTTATATAAGCAACTATGCCATTACTGAAACTGGAACTCCAATAGGATATTTTATTATTCATTCTTGTATGAACTATGTTTCCCTAATTGAGGAGTTTCCACTGGTATATGATTTATAGAGCATTTATCTTATCGTAACAGAAAATATGGATATGGAATAAGAAAAACATTCCTGGAAGATTTTGGAAAACATTCCTGGAAGATTTTGGAAAATCCCTTCCTAAAACATACTCATAGGAACCATAATAATGATTTTTCCACCCATAGGGTTCTAATGCTAGCTTCACATACTCGATGGCAGAAAGCTCCAGAAATTCCCTCACTTTCTGCTCAAAAGCCATACAATTTGAGGAACTGATACTCTCAGGAACTGGTATATCCCTTACATCAGTGGGTGCCTGGACTGGGAAAGATGATGTAATGGTTATGGGTAGAAAACCTGCCTCTGAGCATGATGACAAAGCTTTAAAATGCCACTGGAGATCCAAGAGATGTTGAGACTTCCTCTCATTGTCAGAATAAGAGCTCTGCTTTATAAAAATTAAGAACAGAAGAGTATTGGCTTAAATTGATAATACTCTTCTTGGAAATAGACTAGTTTTCCCCTCATTTGGTATACTTCAAAAAAGTTTAAAGTATCAAAATCTTTTGTCTTATAGAACAGACACTTTTGATTTTATCGTAAAAGTATAATACGTTTTTAAAGCAGCTAAAGTCACTTATCTGAGAGGAAATATCAAATAGAGGATGGTTTTTAGTCAGACTAACCTGAATTTTAATTCCTGCTGTACCATTGTTAGCTGTGTGATTTTGGACATGATATTTAAGCTTTCTGATCTTCAGTATCTGAATCTAGGAAGTGTGAATATTAATAGTGACCCACTGAGAATGCTGTAAGGTTGAAATTTGATAATGTATTTAAAGTGCCTAGCAAAGTGTTTGACACAGAGTATGCACTCAAGAAGTAGGGTATTATCATCTTATGATTGTAGTAACAATATTAACATAATCATCATTATTAGTTAGCTGGTTGAAGAAAGTAAGAGTGCAATGACTCAAAAGAGTAAGATATTAATTTTTTTGTAATGCACTGTATTATTTTGGTATTTTATTCGAAAAACTAATTATGTGTATCTGGCCCTTCCCTGCTATTTTTCCTACCTTACACTGTTTTTTTCACCAACTCAAAATTCTCACCCAGACCTTTTTTCAGCTTAACTAAACAAAACTACTTTCACTTCAAAGCCTGTACTCATTCTGTTCCCTGTGCTTTTGGCCAACCTTTTCACATTGCCTTCAGGTCTTGGTTTAAATATCACTTCTACAGAGAAGTCCACCCTGACCACCTAATCTAAGTAGCCAGTCTTTTCTTTATTATTTTTAAAAGATTTTATTTATTTATTTGAGAGAGAGAGAGAGGGAGGGAGGGGGGAAGAGAGAGAGAGAGCATGAGCAGGGGGAGGGACAGAGGGAGAAGCAGACTCCCTGCTGAGCAGGGAGCCCACCCGATGCGGGGCTCAATCCCAGGACCCTGGGATCATGACCTGAGACAAAGGCAGAAGCTTAACTGAGCCACCCAGGTGCCCCAGCCAGTCTTTTATTAGTATCCTGACATCACCTAGTTTATTTCTTTTCTAGCACTTTTCACAATTTTTGATAATATGTTTGCTTGGTATTTATTAGTTTTCTGCCCCCCCAAACTGTAACCCCTGCCCTATGAGGGTAGTAACCATTCTGCTTATTCATCCATATACCTAAGGCTTAATATACTCAATACATATTTTGTGGATGAATAATTAAGAGAACAAATGTGATCTAAGAAGGTGCCATGTGGTAAATAAAGCTAGTCTCTGATTTGCCACAAATAACTGGGCATAATTGGTTCTGCAGTAGCAGAGACGTGAGAAGTGACTGGGAGGTTGAATTTGCTGGGGTGCATAAATAACAAGCCCCAGTTAGATTTACGTGCACCAATCAGTAAGTGTGAGTATTTACTAACGACTGAACAGCTTATACCATCCTTTTCTTTCCTCTTTTTTCTTCTCCAGAATGGCCACATCTGTTGCTCAGTGGATCCACAGTGCCTTCAGGAACTGTGAAGTTAACGTCTCACGGGAGATTTCTGTTTAAAGAATGTTCTTTCATTAAAAAGACCAAAAAAAAAAAAAAAGTTAAAACTTAAGGTGGATGATTTGTGGGCAGCTAAGTGCAGCTTTGTTAATAGCTGAGTGAACATTCAATTATGAAATTTGTGAAGCTTGAGAAAATCACTAAAGGAAAATTCTTGGGGCAAAATGAGACCAGAATTCTGCTTCTACTGTGTCTGACATCACCGTGGTAGAAGAATGGGTGTAGAATACACACCATGACATCATGACCCCTGGATATAAAGCCTGAGCCCATCAGAGCTTTGAAAGCCTCTAGCTTCACTGGTGCAGAAAATTTTTCTCTAGATCAGAATCTTCATGAATCAGTTAGGTTCCTCACTGCAAAAAAAAATAAAATGCAAGGCAGTGAATGAATTATATTTTCAGAAGCAAAGCAAAGAAGTTATAACGTATTATGTACAGTATACACTCCGAAAAGAAATCTGAAACAAGTTATTGTAATGATAAAAATAATGCACAGGCATGGTTACTTAATATTTTCTAACAGGAAAAGTCATCCCTATTTCCTTGTTTTACTGCACTTAATATTATTTGGTTGGATTTGTTCAGTATAAGCTCGTTCTTGTGCAAAATTAAATAAATATTTCTCTTACCTTATAACGTGTCCGAGTGTCTTGTTTACATGTATTCCTTTTCCCACAGATGCCTCAGCATACAAACTGCTTCCTAGTTCTGCTGATGAAACACTCCCACCATGCTATTTCCAAACTGAAAGGTGATTTTCACTAAATTATATCTAAGTGGGGAGTGTGATGCATACTTTCATTCTGCCTCTCGAGATCCTCTCACTCACCTTTTCTACCCTGTCTGTATCCTGGGAACTGATCTATATAGACCACGTTAATGGGTTCCCTTGTCCTTTGGATTCTGGCTTGGTTTTACCAGTGGGGACTGCTGGCAAGATGTCAGGAAGAGTTAAATCTGGGGTTTTTATTCTGCTGGCTCCCTTCCTGCCAGATCACGACCATGATTAGTGGTGTCACCTCACTGAAGGCTCCATCTCCTGACACATGGTCCCCTATGGTTAGCTACCCTCTCCAAGTTCTGATACCTTCTTCTTTTTGCTTCTTCCAGCTTAGGGATAGTAACAACTCTGGCCTTTTTGTCCTCAGGAGGTAACTGCCCCATTTCTTGTTGCTTTCCCTATTTCCTGTCACATCTTTATAAATGGTCCCTTTGTTAAACTCTCTTTAATTAGCCAGCTTGTGTGTGCCATCATTTCCTGCCAGGACTCTGACTGATACCCATAAGGAGGGAAGTATGTGAGGGTTGGGAATGTCTTCAAGAAGTGGTCCTTCACATTTTGATATAAAAAAGTACAGAATTCCAATGTTAGGAGGGATTATGACATTACCTATTAAATTTATTGATATACTAGAATCTCAGGAGGAAAAAAAAGTAAACAGATTGATGCCCCAATAAAGGACATGTAATCCATTACTGCCCTATCTATATGTTTTGCAGTAGGGTAAAAAGCAAATACAAAAATTATCAAATTAAATTTTAGCTGCATAGAGACTTTTACTTTAAAGAAGAAAATGGAAATGGAGAGTATTTGACTACTCCAAACTACAGAAATGGTAAAGTGGCTTTTCACTATCCCTGCACCATTGCTATGGAAACAATCTTACACTAGCTGAGCTAAAGGATAATTTATAAATGTCTTAATACTTTGGCATGTGTAATATTTATTGAATGTGTGAATTCAAGTATCTCTCCATATTCCCTGGATTTATCATAAATTATTTTTTCTGCAGCCTTTTTATATTTAATTTAAAATTTCAACAGAGCACAAGGGCTTTTTTTTCCTGCTACTATTTACTATGGTAAATAGCAATTTAGTCTCCAAGAAGATATTAATTTGAAGTTATTTCCATGTGATTTTTTTCCTTATATATGTTTTGGATTTCATATTAAATCTTCCTGAAAAAATATATTTTATTTGCATTAATGAAGACAGTAAGAAATAGTGTGTGCATGTGGGTATGTATGTGTAATGTATATATACACACACCATCCCCATCCATATATTCATATATATGCATCATTTAGATATTTTATGGCTTTTGGAAGAAGAAGCAAGGCTGGAATTGCATATTCCCAATTTGTTATAAACCTTAGTAGGGCTCTGAGGATTTTGGTGGTTTGCAGACCCCTGGTAAAACTGCTAAGTGAAAGAAAACTCTTATAACATTGAAAAGAGGGAAAAAATAAGATTATATTCTTCCAAAGACTATTAAAGCAATGAATATGCTCAGATTGAATTTTTTCCCTTCAAGATTTATACCATAAAAAATATATCCCAGGAGAATTACTGTTTACCCTGACAAGCAGTAATCAATTGCTTCTTAAGAACTTTGTTCCTTGAAAAAGAGGTGGTTAATGCCCTACTTCTTACTCTGGAGATAATTGGCAAAATGCCATCGTTGAATTATGCCAACATTATGGGAAAGTGAAAGCTAAGAAGCATGAATTTAATTTGGGGGTACTTGGCTCTTTTAAGAGCAGCTCTTGGTGACAATCGTTTTTACATTTCCTTTATTTTCCCTTTCTGAGAAGAAAAGCACAAGAATCCTTTAAATGCAATCCTTTGGTAACTAACGTATGGCAATCTGTATCATTTATCTCCCTTTTCAAAAGACTGCCATACTGCTTCCCCGCCCGCCCCCCGCCCCCCCGTGCCCTATATGCTGGTAAAGAGAGCCACGGGTTTGTTCAATTATACTGCAATATCATGGAACTCTTTCATCCTCCCACTAACTTGGTTATCTATAGCCAAAGTTGAAATACTCTATAATTGCCTTTAAAAAAATGAACAATATATCAAAGCTCTAAAACAGTAATCAATACTCTGAGTATCAGAGTAGCAGAAGTTATTCAGTTGAACAAAGCTGAGGTTACATGTACTGAATAGAAAATCAGCTTCAGTTCACTAAGCATTACCCCATCTATCATACCTCCATGTTGCTGACTAGTTTGGAGTTCCTCTGCAGGTCAGCGGATCCCGCAGACCTGTGTGTGGCCGCAGTCCTGTTGACCTAGTGCTTAAGCATTGATGAGACCAACTTTTTTTAGAACAAGACGTTTTGTCTTTATATTTTCAAATGTAGAGTGTTAGTGGTCCAATAGTAAATTGATCTCAGATTCCTGCGAAAAGGATACCTGAAGGCAGTTAAGTGAATGCTCGTGCTCTATACACACTTTATTCATGGAGGTACCTGGACACTCACCCTCGGCAGTCCCTTTGTTGCTGTGAAGTTGGCTCATTGTGTTCTTACTGACCTTTCATTATTGATGCACTGTTTTCTGCCCTAGAATTCAATATCTTCCATAAAGGAATTGTCACCTCTTTGCAGAGTAACTGCCCTTACTTAATAGACCTGCAGGTAGAAAGGCAGGAGTGCCTTAAGCTATAGTGGTTCTGGATCTGTGATGAAATAAAGTGACAAAGAATAGAACCACTGGAGGAGTTTTGAGTAAAATCATGAGTTGCAATTTCCTATATATGCTTAAATTGAGAAGACAACTTCCTCCAAACCTTTGGTCTTTGTATTGAGATTAAATCATTGTTTGTAGAGATGGTTTACAGGGCAGATTCTGAAAGTCTTTATTTTGAATGACAAATGGCATAAATGTTACTGTCACCACCAAAATACTGCATTTAAAACATGCTCTCCCATTTATCTCTAGTGCTAGGTGCTTTAAAAAAACACTCTGGAATTAGAGTGTGACTATATGTAGAAGTCAAAACGATACCAAGTTCATTTTTGAGTAATTTTCTTTCTCTTTTACAAACACACAGCTGTAAGTAAGGAAAAAAGAAAAAAAAATAGAACATATAATTTTCTAAAAAATATATAAAGAATCCAGGAATAAGTCTACCAAAAGAGATGCACGGCCTTATGGAGAAAATATAAAACCACACTGAACAAATATTTGTGGAGGCCCCACTGTCTATCAGACACTGTTCTAGGCAGTGTGTGAAGCATCAGGGCACTGTGGAGCAGAAGCATCCAGAGCAGTACCACAGTGAATAAAGTGTGTACAGAACACAAGCATCCACGGACATATTGCCTTCTTATGGAGTTCACATTCTAATGGTGAGGAGAGAAAATTAACAAATACATAGATGCTATGTCAGGTGAGGATAAGTGCTATGAAGAAAAATTAAGCTGGTTTGGGGTCGTGATATGGACAGGAGTGATAGTTTAGATAGGGTGTGCAGGAAGTCCTCTCTATGTAAAGTGACACTGGAGCAAATACTTGAATGGAGTGAGGGGGTGAGTCATCTCTGTTCCTAGACGGAGAGAATTACAGACAGGGAGAACTGTGTGAACAGATCTGAAATGGGCACATGCTTATATGTGTCTTGAGAGGAGCAAGCAAGCAGACAGGAGATCACAGGAGTGGCTGGTGACCAGATCACATAGATCCACCTGGGCCAAGGTTAGATATTTCCATTTTATTCTTAGTGAGATGGGAGTCATTAGAGACTTTTGAGCATAGCTGTAACATAATTGGGCTGACATTTAAAAGGATCACTTTTGCTCCTGTGTGGAGAATAGACAGGGGAATTGCAGGAAGGGTGAGATGTGCTGAGTGTGGCAGCCGGAGGTGTATTCATAGTGCAGAATTTTGGACAAGATGGTAATGATTTGGACTAGGATGGTAACAAGGGTGAGAAGTGAGAACCAATGGAAGTTAACATTAAAGAAGATCCAACTAAATGAAAAAATGGATAGGAAGTTTAAATATCTTTAAACAGTCAATTCTCCCCAGTGGTTCTAATGAGGAAAAAATATATTAAAAAACAGTTCTTTTAAGGTGATCCTAAACTATCATAGAAAAACGAGTGGCCAAGAAAATTTTTTTGAAATGTGTATTTTAATGTTTGTTTATTTGTTTGTTTGTTTGTTTATGGGAGAGAGCACGTGCACAAGCAGGGGATGGGGAGGGGCAGGGAAAGGGAGAGAGAGAATCTCAAGCAGACTCCCTGCTGAGTGCAGAGCCCAATGCAGAGCTCAATCCCAGGACCCTGAGATCATGACCTGAGCTGAAATCAAGAGTTCGATGCTCAACTGACTGAGCCACCCAGGCACCCCAAATGGCCAAGAATATATATATATATTTTTAAAGATTTTATTTATTTATTTGCAAGAGAGAGAATGAGAGACAGAGAGCATGAGAGGGAGGAGGGTCAGAGGGAGAA